AGTTACTGTGAATGTGAATGCCAGCTTTAGGATTTATTTTCATAATATGATCTCGGAAATGTTGAGTGTGTTGAATGAGGCCAGTGATGTTACATCCCATCCATGAACAAAAAGCTTGTTTTCCTGATATAAACCAAAAGTATACTGTTTCCATATAAAAACAAAAGTAGCTTATGAAGTTCAGATGAACAAAATCATTCGGGTCAGTTATAAATTAAAAGAGGGAGTAAAAGTAATCAAGTCGAGTTGGAGAAGTAAGGCCAGGAAATAACAAGACCGTGGAACTTGCCTTTTAGAAAAATCCATCTAACACTTCCTATGTCCCATTGTTTTCTTTACAAGCCTGTAGTATGTCCAGAGTGGCCCATTTAGAGATATAATCTGGCTGCAGCTCTGCATTTGGGATTTAACCCTGTAATACCAAAATATAGAAAAAAATGAGCAAATTTTTTTTGACCTCTCAGATATTGTTTTAGGAGGCCTCTGATGTAGAAATTAAAGATTTTTCAAAAAGTTTTTAGGGAAATGTTGTAATATTGCAACGTTGGCCCTAGTTAGGAGCAGAATTTCTGTATTTGTACTCACTTTGTCTGAACAGATATACAGAGCATTTAAGCATTCATTTGCAGGGTTGATTGCTTACTTAGCCCCATAACAGTATATATCATGAGTAATAATCACACAACAATCATATTTTATTATGAATAAGCATTTATTAATAAAAATATTGAAAAAAATTGTATTTATAAAACTTTTTCTTCTATCACTTTCAATGTGGTTTGAATGAAGTCTGTGTTTACTTGCAGTGATAGTCCCTAAGACAGTTATTTTCATCTGAGAAGCACAGGCGAACATTGCACTTGCTACACAGTGTGTTTGTGTATCCATTATTGCAGTGTCTGCAGCGTCCTCTCTTCGTCTTTACTGGGAAATGTGCAATCATGTCTTTGCGTACATCCAGTGGGGGGTGGTCCGATGACCTCTTGGCTGGGGGACTCACATCTGTTGAGGATGGTCTCTTCTGAGGATCCAAAGGGCTCCCTGATGTCACCTTCTGTGTGAATGTGTTCGTCTTCCCTGAAGATGGTCGCCCTCTCTTGGGTGTTGTGTTGTGTGTGTTCACCAGGATGAGAGAGGTTGCAAGTTGTGCCTGAAACTGTCTCCTGTTCAGTATCTCTTTCTTAGTCATCTTCAGAGCTTTACAGTCCCGCTTGTAGAGGAGCCAGGCGTTAATCACAGCAAGGATGATGGTGTGCCAGAAGATGTAAATGTACCAGCGGTGGGATTTCATGGGGAACTTGTACTTGGCAGCAAATGAGTCCAACAAATCCACACCTCCCATGTGTTTGTTGTAGGTACCAACAATGTAAGGCCTCTCAACATCAATGATGGTTTTGGTGGCTTTGTCCCAGCGCTGAATCTTCTGCACAGGTTCTGTGTTGTGGTTCCCCTCCACTCGGACATCAAAGTTTCCTCTCCCTTTTTTCTTCAAGCTCTTCTCATCTTCAAGGTTGCAGTTGGGTAGGCATTGGGGATTTCTGAACCAGAAAAATCAGTTTTGGGACTGATAAACTCCTTTTTCAGCCAGCGAAACCTGTCACGGGGCACAGTGTGTTTTTTTGGTTGGGGCTTGATGTCCACATCATCATTGGCTGGGCAGTCAATGGGTTGGTGGTTTTCTTTGTCCATTTCACCTGCATCTTCATTCTCTGAGTCACTTGCATCAGTGTCATCTGAGTCCATTTCAAAATCGCTCTCTCCATTTTGGACTGCAGCAATCACATCCTGCACACTGAATAGATGACCTTTCTGCGCTGGTGGCATTCTGAAATGGAAAAAGTAAAAAAATAAATAAATAAGTGAATAATACATATGGGTCTTATATTGTAGTAGATAAACTGAAAGAATAGACAGGGTGGTAGACCATGTGTCGAGGGTAGAGATCTAAGTATTATCCATCAAAAGTATTATCATTTCAATGGAAATGCTAATCAAAATTCCACTACTACATTTAAACAATACTGTCTGGCTGGCCTATTATGCTCTCTACTTATCATACTAAAAGGAACACATGCATCCCCCCAGAGCACTTACAGGTTCATATTCAAGACCATTCACACCTGTCCCTGAACAATGCAACAGGCATCCCCCCAAAAAATCCAGAACATTCAGAACCTGTTTTTCTATCTCCTAATGCTATAAACTGCTACTTGGGCAACACTCATAAAAAATCTCAGGATCATTTAGAAGTTAAAAAACAAACAAAAAACTACAAAGATACAGGGAGTTTCAGATACTGCTCTAGATGATGGAGTTTCAAATACCACATACAATTTATTCCTGTGTTTAATTATGGTCTAAGCTAAACTAAGTACAAATTTAACAGAAAAGCACATTTAGAACTTAGTTACAATGAATCATCTAACAGTTTAAATTTCAATTTGTGACCATGTGAGAAGTGCAGTGTCCTTATGTAATGTGTAAGGAGCACAGGCTATTTTGACTACCACTCTGGCCCAACGTTGTAGAATTACAACATAGACTTAACAAGCTCTAAATCAAATTTGATTAATGTTTTCCAAAATAACTAAATATGTATGTGTTCTAGACATTGTAATAAACACAAAAAAAATATGTAAGGAATTTTACGTACTTGAATCTTGACAAATCCAGTCATGCAAAAAAAGGAGATGAGCTCAACGCGAAGTTTGCAGGTAGAGTGAGTTCATGGCCAGATGACCGGACCTATAAACACTTCTTCTATCCAATAGCATTGTGAGGACAAACAATAGAACCCATTAACTATGTAAATGTGGTCTTGAGAGGAACAAAAAAAAAACATTTGCAGGCCTTTTTTTTAAATTGTTAAAAGTGATGTTGTAATTCTGCAACAGTGGGCTTTTTGTTGATTAGTCATCCCATACACCTGTGTTTCCCCAATCATCCCCTGTATTTAAGTGTGCAGTCTGTCTCGGTCGGTTCTACTTGTTATGTTCATGTGTTTCCTGCCGTTCCCAGTGTTGGATGTACCCTGTGTTTCTTGGATTAAAGACTGTTTCATTTATTCCTCGTCTCCATCGTTCCTCACCATCACAGATTGTGACAGAAGAACCGACCAAAACAGTAACCTTCTTGTGTCTACCGTGTGTTTTGTTTCCCGTTTTTACCCAGTGTTTTTTTTTCTTCTTTTATTCCCTGGATGGATGCCCTTCTTCGCCCCGAATACCTCCTCCTCCTGCTGGAGCAGGGGGCAAGGCTCTCGAGGACCATACTAGACTGTTCCAGCTGCTAGCAAGCACAACCAGCTACCCGGACGACGCGCTCTGTGCGTTCTACGACGCCAAACTAAACATCGAGTGCAGAGCGCTGTCATCCGAAGATGGTCCTCGAGAGGATTTCAGCGCATTTGTGGAGTGGGTTCTGGCGAGAAACGGGTCACCTCTCACTGTCACTCCCGAGGATGATCTCGCCAGATCCACTCCGCACCCAGAGCCCAGCCCACCATCTCCCCGCTGTGCGGAGCTAAAGCCCAAGCCCACCGATGACGGAGAGCCAATTCCCGCCGCGATCTACAAACCAGCGCAATACCGAGCGACTGAGCAGAGGATCGCCCCGGAAGTAGAGCCCAAGCCGTCAGACCAGGTGCGAGAGCCGGCGACAATGCCCCCCACGAGGGAGAAAGCCGCGGACTGTGTAAGCGCGGAGAGGAGCTCTGCTCCCTGCACCGCGGCTGAGGGTGAGCTGAGTATGGCGCGGCGAAAGTGCCAAAGCGAAAAGGAGAGGGCTCCAGTCCCCGAAACAAGTCCACAGCGCCCTCCAGTGCCCGCTCCTAGAAAGCGCACTCCAGTGCCAGCTCCTCGTAAGCGCCCTCAAGTGTCCGCTCCTCCTGAGCACCATCCTGTTCCCGTGTTCAGCCTAGAGGGGGCTCCCGATCCAGAGTTTAGCCCTGATTGCCCGGAGGCTCACAAATGCCCGCCCTCCCACCTGCTCCCGCCTCCTCAACCGCTATCGTCTGGCAGCCCCTCTGCTCGCCCTCAGCCCACCATCATTACGGTGCGCTTTGATTCGGCCCTCCGTCCCCTCGGCTCCACCTCAGTCCTCTGTCGCTCCGGGTCCACCTCGGCCTCCCGGATCCACATCTCCACGTCGGTCCCCGGCGCCATCTGCTCCGCCTAGGACCTCCGAATCCTCCCCGTCGCTCC